ATTCTATAAAAAAGAAAGTTCAAAAAAAGATTTGCAATGGAATATATCAGGTAAAAATTGATTTTCCCACGTTGAAATCTAAATTTTTAATATAAAAATAAGGACAGCTGATGATTATATCCGAGATTTTAACCGAAAATTTCATTTTAATTTTCAATACGTGCAGGAACATGGTTTATGATAATGTTTTCATATCCTTTATCACAAAGATGGGAAATTCAAACTCATCAAATAATCACACAACCTCACATCCACCGCAACCTCTTCACTCATCATCTTGTAAACATATTCAACGATATCTGAGTATCGATGGATGGTGTAAAAAATGTACGATGAAAAGTGTGAATTCGGGTCATCGAGGTCTCGATAAATTAATCCTCCGTACCCAAAAAAAGTCAACTTCTTGGACTGATCCTTTCTTGGAATGGATTCCTTTTGAACATTTCAAGGATGTGTGCAAAATTGATGAAGGGGGATTTGGTATTGTCTATCGTGCTACTTGGATCCAAGGAAGGTAATTCTAATTAAAATTTTTTTTTTTTTTAAAAAAAATCTAATCATATTAAGGTACACAGCTAATCCTTTTTGTGTTTTATATTAGCAGACAGAAAAATAAATCACAAAAGACGCGCACAGGTCCGATTACGGTCACGTTAAAATGCATCAAAAATTCTCAAGAGATGTCTGATGAATATTTAAAACGGGTAAGTTAAAAAATATGGGCGGTTTTTGCTATTAAAATCACGTTACGATCATGTCATTCATTATGTATCGTGACCCAATTTTAATATTTCTTTTTATTAATTTAGTTAAAGTCGTATTACAAAACTAGTCTGGTTCAATCACGAAAACGAATGCAACAACAACTCAAATTCTACGGGATATCGCAAGATCCAACCACCGGAGAGTACGTGATCATAACGCAATACAGCGAACACGGATCTTTACGTACGCTATTGCATAGTCACTTTTCTTCATTTCGATGGACCGATAAATCATGGTGGCTTTGTGATATTGCGTCAAATCTACTCACATTACATAAGGAGGGTATCGTGCATGGAAACATCCATTCCGGAAACATTCTACAAATTGGTGAATTGACGAGGGAGACTACATCAGCTTTAGCCGATACCGGATTAAATTTCCCTGCAAGTGATTTAAATTATAACTTTGAGAGGGATGTGTATGGAGTCTTACCTTACTTGGCTCCAGAAGTCATCTTGGGAAACGCACCATCGAAGGAATCAGATGTTTATAGCATTGGAATATTAATGATTGAAATGTCCACGGGAATTCCACCTTTCTCACATCTTCCACATGATGAACAATTGGCTTTAGAAGTTTGTCAGGGATTACGTCCCGAATTGGCCCAAGGAACTCCCAAGGTTTATGCGGATCTAGCAAGGAAATGTTGTAGTACGGACCCTTTTTTACGCCCTAAAATCAAAGATTTATTATATATCTTTAACTCTTGGTGGTCTGTTATGAACACAGATGATCCCAAGAACGTACATATTCGAAATTCGTTCTTAAAAGCTGACTCACTTATCCCTGATATAATGGAAAAGAGGAGTTCGACCGCTAAGAACGAACAAGCTATTTTCAAAAGTAAATTAATACAATTTCAAAATGTATTGGGTAGAAGAAAAACGAATTATTCACTGCATCGAGAACACACAAATAGCATGCATTTTCCACTATTGGATTTAAAATTACCCGATATCACTATCGGTTTCGATTAAAATGATTATACCATGTATTATATATAATATATATATTATTTTATTTATAATTATTATTTTAATGGCACACTTTGTAAAATAAGTCACACACATATCAACTTAATAAAATGACATAAAAAATAAAGCATAACTTTTACGAAATTGTAGTTTGTAATTCCGACTGGAATCAAGAATTCTTAAATATGTCTGAAAAAAAAAAATAAAAAGATTTCTAGATATTATTTTCCTAGATTATCCATTCAAGAAATTCTTTAAGATTGCTCGTCCATCCTTCTATTAATACTATATTGTTTCAGTTTACAAGTAGTTCATTATAACTACACCATTCGTAATTTCAACTCGATCGTTACTAACCAAAATTAGCACAAAACCTTCTACATTGGAGTACAAAGTGGTACACTAGCGGTATATGTCGTGTTGAGAAATTTTTGTATTATTGAGCAATATAACAATAACGTGTTGTTAAATTCGATTGTAAATCATAAACGATTTATTTGATTTTGGTAGATCATATGTCGCAGACCCCAAACTGCCACAGCTTCAGAAAGCAGGGGATTTGCCAAAGCGTGTGCTCAAATGGCAATATTTATTACCTATTTGACTTATAGGTACCATCGTTATCCCCCAAACTATCTTTTTCTTTATTGTAATGCAAGCGTGGCTTGAGCTATATTTCAATGCTATACACTACCCTCCATTCTTGCTGTCCAGTTCCCCCAAGAAAATTGAACACAGAATATTTTTTATGGTATCGTCTATACACTTACAAATCATTAATTAACCAATACTTTTTACTAAAATGTAAATTTTTACCTTATCACGCTCCTCATGTATAGATAATAAACAATAAGTAAGGTATTAATAACATAAATGTGGGTAATGTTCTACAAAGTAAATAAATATAACGAGTCCGATAATCAATTAGCGAACCTAAATATCGTTTAAAATTGTTCAACTTTTATATTTTCTTGGGTATATGAAAAAGAAATCATTCCGAGGAAATATTAAAAAAAATATATATATATCTTATTAACCAAAATAATTTTTTGTTCTTTGCATTTCCTTGTGCTGTATTAAGTGCTATTTTACTAAATTCAAAAAAAAAAAAAAAAAAAAATTTTTAAATTAGTGACAATGTGATACAATATAAGTATGAGATTCCGTGCAATTAAATTATCGCGTGCACAAAAGAAATAAAAGTTCAAAAAAAAAAAAATCATCTGTATGATATCGGAATGTTATTTGCATTTTTTTTTAATGCATGATGATAACTCTCATTTTTTTTTTTAAAAAAAAGAAAATGCATCTTGACTAAAATACTGGGCTTTTTACGAATTGCGAAAATTTCGGACATAAATATTTCTTGTAAAGTATCGCTGATTTTCATCTCATTTCATTAATTGTTCATTAACGATTAAGTGAGTACGAAATAAATAAGGATATTATTTATGATATATAACGATATAACAATCATTACTGTGGACTTAACCAAGCTAGTGCATTTTCAATCATATTTAGTCCTCTTGGCGCATCCATCAAAACTTTTACAAGTATAATTATAAGTAAGTATAATATTTTCATTAAGACTTATAAAACATACTAGCTTGGCATCTGCAATATCCGATAAGTGCTGTCAATTGTCAATTAAAATCTTGTGACACGGTAATTTTTTGACCGTGATACCGCGGAAATGTTTCCGTAATTTAAAGTTCCTTTTGAGTTAAGTTACGAAAACCAAAGTACTCCTTGTCAAATGAATTATTCATTCAATCATATAAAATCTTCAAATGGGTTGTCTTAAAGAAACTTTTAATTTAACATTTGCCACGTAAATGCGAAACTTGTCAAAAATTATAAATAATTTGTGGCTATTATTGAATTTGCTGTGCTGTACAACTATTATTAAATAGAGTCCATTTTCATCATCTTTCATTTTTTTTTTTTGATAAAATAAAATAAAAAAATATTTAAAACACATTATAATTTCTAAAATTTTTACATATCGAAACATCGAAACATTTACAAAATAATCTATATTCTATATTACTAAATTTAAATTTCTAATTTTTCATCATCATTAATATTACGAAAAAAATTCATTATGATTATAAAAAATAATAAAACTTTTGATTAAATGGCATTCGTCCTTATATCTTAATATATGTTATCTAAAAAAAAAAAAAACTTATCGCTACCTTTAAAGTTTCTTATATTATATAATGTAAATACAAATTATTTCCCAAAAGCACATGACTTTGTAAATATTTTTCTTCCATGCTTGAATCAACTTAAACATTCTCTCTCTAGTAGTATAAAAATTCATTCATTTATTATATATACATATAGCTTATTTAAATAATTATCAATTAGATTATAATATAATTGATTAAGTTTCAATTCAATTATAATTTTTTTTAATTATTTATTATTTATTATAAGCTTTTATAATCCTCTTATTTTATTAATTTAATTATTACCCTAATGAAAATAATTTTCAAAACGTTTAAAGAATTTCAGAAAACATACAGAAAGCATGTCAAAAGAGAGAATTTTAGGTAAAAAAAAGCTATGTCATATTAAACATTTATAACCAATAATAATATTAAAATTTTACATATAAATACATAAAATTTTATAATTAAATTATCCTACAAGATATTGTTAAACTAAATTCGTAACACTGGAAATTTTACTTTTAAAATCACCCTACGGGATATTAATACATTAATTTTATCAATAATATAATATAATATAAATTATATTAGTAATATACATGATTTCAGTAATATGATATTATATTCTGATTAATTCTATTTATTATATTATATAGAGTTGATATCATTTTTTTACAAATATCCTCAAATTTTTTTCTTGCAAATACATGTATTATTATTATTATTTCTTTATTATTAAAATAAATCGTAACAGATACAGCACTACTCAAAGTCAAATGAAATATAAAATAATATTATTTCTATTAATAAAAGTGAAATTAGCAGTCCTTTAGATGACTTTTCATCTTTAATTATTATTTCTTAGATTGTCTAGCAGGCAAATTTACCTATGAACTAAAAAAAAAATGTATAAAATATTAAATATTAATTTTAGTAATATAATAATTATATAAAAATATAGTATAATATATATTTTATTAACTTTATTAGAAGAAATTTTAAGTTTATAAGAAGTTTTTTTAAATAATTTAATTTTTAAAATTAAGTTTAAAAAATTTTATTATAATAATTTTTTAAAATATTCTTCAAATTTATATGTTTACAAACTAATTGAATCATTTTATTACTAATAAAAGTTATAAAATTTCTTAATTAAAATTATTCATTATGATAAATTTTATAATATTCTATTATAATTAATATTTCTAAAAGTAAATATTAATAAGATTGTCAATGAACAATGATGAAATTTTTTAAAAATTACAAATTTTTAGCTTATAAATAACTTAAAATTTTTATTATTTAATTAAAAAATAAAGATTATTATAATATAATACAATATTTATAAAATTAATTTAATTTTTCATAAAAGTAAATTAGAAGAAAATTTATAGTAAAAATATAGTATTATTTTAATAGTTCACTTTTCTTTAGTTTCAAAAAAAAATCAAAAATCTGAAATAATTTTAAATAAATACCTCTTGTTAAAAGGGATTAAAAAAAATATAATTCCATTATTAAAGAAAATATTAATGATTTAAAGATTAATAAAAACAAATCATGTAATACTAACTTTAAATATTATTGCTAAACATAATATTATAGTATCAACTTCAAAGACCACTAATAAACATAAATAAAATGAGCTAAATAATAATAGTAAAGAATTTTAAATGAAGAAATTAACATTTAAGAACCAAAAGCTATTTCAACTTAAATTGATGAACTTCTATAATTAAGTAATGATGATCTTTTAGAAGATAATTTTTATTTTAAAATTATATTTTAATATAATATGATTAAATTTTATTCTTACTTTTTTTAATTTTTTATTTCTTTAAATAAAGATAATTTAGTAATAAATATTAGAAATATCAGATATAAACCTCCTGCATCATTACAAAAAATAATAAAGAATTGATAATAATATAATATATAATAATAGTTTAAACAAATGTATCTGAATTCTTAACCTAATAATATATATAAGATCTAATTATAATAATGATATATTTTGTTTAAATTCTTATTCTATATCAAATATAAGATTTAATGATAATCATGATGTATTTTTATCTGAATATAACTAATAAATTTCATAAAATCTAATCAATCTAAACTTCTAGCAATATTTAGTAAAATGTTAAATTTTTATCAAATATATTCATAGCTAAGTGAATATCTAAATATTATATTATTTGCATATAATATGCATTTATTGATGTAAATATTAATTATAAATACATTTAACTTGATCAAATTTTAATTTACCAATATAGTAACTGTGTATTACAAATATGTAAGATGATAAATATAATATGATTTCTCATTTTTTTTTGTTATTAATTATTAAATAATTTATATAATTTAAACAAAAGCAAATAAAAATTTTCTCAAAAAACTAAAATGCTAATAAAAATACTATTCTGACAAATCTTAATTGTAATCTTAATTTAGCTAAAATAAAAGATTAGTAAATTGAAATTTTAGTGACTTATAAAATAAATATTATGATAACATTGAAGAATTGATCAGTAAATTCAAAGAACAAATAATTTGATATTACTTATTTATTATATTTAACATTTTATAAGATATTTATCATTAAATTTTCTCACTTTCTAAAGGTTATATTGAATTTGTACAGTTAACTCTTCTTATAATGAACTCTATATTCTAAACCTCAACTTTGCTATAAG